ACCTCCTCATCTATTATTGGGAGTGGACTACATCCACCCTGATTGAACTGGCCCTGTCAACACTGGTTCTCCACTTGCGAAGTAACTCCCTGCTCTCCATGTGTCAGCATATAATGCCTGCATCTGTAACTTTCACTCTATGCATCCGAAGAAGTGAGGTTTTTACCCACGAAAGCTTATGCCCAAATAAATCTGTTAGTCTTTAAGGTGCCACCAGACTCCTTGTTGTTTTTAAAAAGGTGGCACCATCAGAATGCTGAGGCCTATACAGAAAACACTGTTGTTCATAGTCCTACCTGGGGAGACCATCTGCAGACCCTTCAAGACGCAGTTCTTAGGACCAGCCCCACAACATGTAACTAGCCATGACTGAGGTACCCAATTTGGGGTACCACATAGGGTGCAGCCTCATGAAACTAGTGATTGACAAGGCACAGACCCTAATACCATGCCCAATTCCCTGGAAGAAGAGGCAAATGAGGTATTTTATCAGCCTGGCAATTTATTACTGGAGGTTTATCCTCAGTTTTACCTCAATCTCAGCCTGCCTTAAAGACCTAATTAAAGGTAAACCACCCAAGGAAGATCTGGTGGGATTGGAACAGGGAGGAAGCTTTTAATGAACTGAAAGCACAACTATGCCGGGCACCTGTGCCCTTCGGCCCTGATTTTTCTTGTGAATTCATACTGCACATAGATGCCTCACATGTCTGCCTAAGTGCCATGCTCTCAGAAGACACTGAAGAAGACCACCACTCAATCATATACTTGACTAGGAAGGTATTCCTTAGAGAAAAGGCCTACTCAGTTACTGAAAAGTAGGCACTAGGGATCGAATGGGCCACAGATTCTCTCAGGTATTACCTGCCCGGTAGCCCCTTCTCCTTGATCACAGATCATGATACCCTCTACTGGCTCCATACCATGAAAGACGTGAATCCATGTATAATGCAATGGTACCTGGTGCTACAACCCCATAGTTTCAGAGTGCAACTCCAGACAGGAAAGGACCGTGATAATGCCAGTTACTTTTCCTGGAAAATCAGAGATGGAGATTACCTATGCCAAGACTGCAGGGGTGAGGTTGTGAGGGGTAATTTCCTCAGTCTCAGAGAGGCGGAAGCATATGAGCCCTTCTGGGCTCAGCCAGCACTAATGAGATACACCTGTGAGACTTGATCTGCCTGGAGGGAGGAAGCTTAAAAAGGGGAAGCCTTCCACAGGAAGTGGTGGTGACTAGGGAGAAAATTTCTATACCTGAGAGACCACTGGCCACGTAGACAGACCAGCAAGAGGAAGACAACTGCAGAACTTGCAGCCCCTGAGACTGCATGAACCAGGTATAAAGCAGGGGTGACCAAAAGGAGGGCTTGGAGGCAGACCCTACCCCTGATTAAGGACAGAATACCTGCAGATAAGCCAAACCCCAAAGGAGAGACCGAAAGACTGCCTAAGAGACTGACCACCTTTGCCTTTTACTTTTACTCTGATTCTCCCTCTCCCAGGGGAAGGAGAGGGAAAAGGGCCTTTTTAAAAAAATCCCTTAAGTGCCACAAACAGGGGAAGGGCTCCGTAAGCAGCTCAAATCATGGTTTAGAGGGGACAGGGTGGGGATGAGGTACCCACTATAAGATAATTGAAAGATGTAAACACCGAGAAAGAAATGAGAAGGAATTATTGAAAGCAGTAATAGTAAACAACAGTAATGGAATTAAACTAAGAAAAAAAGAAGTTTATATTAAATATTAGGGAAGACTTCCTGACAGAGATTTTTCAGACTGCAGAATAGTCTTTCAAGGGAAGTATTAAACTCTAGTGCTTATGATTTTAAAAGCACTAACAGGCCAAACACTATGCTGAGTGGTGTAGGGAACAAATCCTGCATTTACAGAGGATAGATGAGATGACATAAGGTCTTTTTAGCATTTAACTTCTAATTATTCTAATCAATATGTTCCAAGTGCTTAAATGTGCATTTTACTTAAAATTCTTAATATGTTCCTCTAATTTTATGCTAAGAAGAGATGTTAAGAGGAATCACATGAAAATGCTGATATTTTGTGGTGCAAATGTACATATATAATCATTTAATGGATTGACTGTTTAATTCTAATACTCTATTTTCTGTTTCAGGGTACAAGTTGAATTTTATATGAACGAAAATACATTTAAAGAGAGACTGAAGCTATTTTTCATCAAAAACCAAAGATCAAGTAAGCAGTTTTGATTAATTTCTGTTACATATATTTGTTAAATATAGGAGATGAAATCTTGGTCCCATTAGAGTCAATATCAGGAGTTCCACTGACTTCAATTGGGCCAAGATTTCATCCATAGGAAATTAGCAGATTCTGTTTTTAACAGAATTTCCATAATGAATTCTCAAAAGACATTAGCAATTTAGTGTTTTGGGTTTTTTTTCTTTTTCATTTTGTTGGGGACAACTATTTATTGACTGGGTTTTATTTTTGCAATGTCTTCAGATGGACTAGTTTCCATGGATCTGACATGTCAGTGTATTTGGATGGGTCATCACATAGCTTTCTAAATTAGAAGAAAAGTTCCAGAGGCATGTGGGCTTCCAACCTGTTTTATTTTATCAAAATCCTCTTAAATTAATTTCAAACTCTATCTAGGTTGCAAAAATAATTTAGAAAGGTGACCAGCTGAAAGGGCATCCCGGCTTCTAAGGCATTTCTGAACATGGTATTTCAGATACAAACAAATTTTAGTTGCCTTGTAATCTTTTTCCTTCAGCCCTGATTCAGCTGGCTATCCACATTGACCAAAGCACATTAACTGCTTTGCTGAATGGGGCCTAGATGATTTTTCACTCAGATTGTCACATTTAAAACTAACCGTGATCTTTTCCCTGCTTTTAAAATTAACTAACACCAAATATGCACTGGGGAGAAATTCACCCCATGCAAAGAGCTTCCATCATGCTGTATCCATAACTTATTTACAACCTGTATGAAAGCTCAAATTCAACCCCAGTGCAAGATTCCCCCCACTACCTAGGATGACTGCAGGTAGGGTGACCAGATGTCCTGATTTTATTGGGGCAGTCCCAATATTCAGGGCTTTTTCTTATATAGGCACCTATTACCCCCCCACCCCGATTTTTCACACTTGCTATCTGGTCACCCTAATTGCCGGAGGAAACTGTGGCCAGAAGATCTACGTAAGATGCAGTCCATACATGTTGTGGCAAGAGTCTGCAAACCAGACCTGCTTAGGCCATCACAGAAAGCCACAATGGGCAGGGGCTATGACATTTACCTTTATATTCATCCAGTCATTCCCACACCCCATGCAACAGCCTGAATGAAATAAAATCTGATGTGTATCCCTTAACTGTGAGGAAGGCAACTACACACTCTGGCCTCATGTGTTAGCATTGTTGATGTTACTACCTTTTGCCCTCTACCCATATAGAGCCAGATTACAGTGGCTTTATGCAGGTGGGGGAATGGATTTTACCCTAAGTACTTAAGTACAGCTCAGGTGGGTGCAGGGCTTGGTGCAGATAAAAGATTATTTTCACCCTTGCATTATACGGAGAAGGGGTAAGTGGACAGATTTTTAAAGAGAGAGACAAGGTGGTTGAGGTAATAACTTTTTATTGGACTAACTTCTGTTGGTGAAAGAGACAAGCGTTCAAGCTACACAAAGTAATTTTCCAAGACTTGAAGAGCTCAGAGAGTCACAGCAAAATACAAGGTGGAACAGATTGTTTAGCATAACAGACACATTTAAAATGAAGTGGTCCCTTAGAATATGTGTTAGCGTCCTCATGCTAAACAATCTGTTCCACTTTAAATTTAGCTGTGACATTCCGAATACCTTTCCCAGACCTGGAGAAGAGCTCAGTGTAGCTCAAAAGCTTGTCTCTTTCATCAACAGAAGTTGGTCCAAAGTGGTCATCCACTTTGTCTCTCTAATATCCTGGGACCAACACTGCTACACCACCACTGCAAACAGATTTTTAAAAGCTTTCAGTGGTAGCCATGTTAGTCTGTATCAGCAAAAAAACCGAGGAGTCCTTGTGGTACCTTAGAGACTAACAAATTTATTTGGGCATAAGCTTTCGTGGGCTAGAACCCACTTCATCAGATGTATGAAGTAAAAAATACAGGAGCAGGTATAAATACAAGAAAGGATGGGGGTTGCTTTACCAAGTGTTAGGTCAGTCTAACGAGATAAATCAATTAACAGCAAGATACCAAGATTTTTAAAAGGTATTTAGGCAGGTAGTGATGCAGATAAGCACCTAGTGGGATTTTCAAGAGTGAGTAGGAATTCCAAATTCCATTGAAATCAAAACTGAAAATTATCAGTAAATGGAGCAAATTCAGCATGTGTGAACTCAGACTCCATTTTAGGAATACTGTTGTGATCAGTGCAGCTCTGAAATAGAACAAGCAAAAGAGACCTAAAGACTTCAGACTTGGATGTCTAAATCCCTCTTTGAGCAACAAATAGAAGTGGTTGGATTTTCTTCCCTCTCTCCCCCCCCCCTTGATACTCTTACTCACACTCAATAGAACTCTACTTGACTAAAGTGGGAATACTCATGGTGTAAATTACTATTCAACATGAATAAGGCCCATGGTTAGGTCAAAGTACAAACATCCCAACAAGAAGTATTGTATGAAAAATTCTTAAAGTACTTCAGAACAATCATGTTACCATGCAAAATAGACAGTAACTCTTCTGTATACCTTGAGTCAGTGAATAAAAATGGTATTGAATATATATGTAAGACTATATTTGCACTCAGATTAATCAAAACAGTGGAGATTTCTGTATAGCAGAAATATATTCTGAACCTACAGCCTTGAAGCAGTGATTTCAGCATCCACATCTCAATCAATCTTCAGTGTTGCTTTTAAATCTGTAAAATCTTCTCAGCACACATTGAAGTCAGTATAAGCTTCTCTAATGCACACAGCTCATGTCAAAACTACAGGGCCGGCTCCAGGCACCAGCCGACCAAGCACGTGCTTGGGGCGGCACCTTGTAATGGGCGGCCAATCTTGGGGTGGCGGGGGGCACTCGGGGTTTTTTGTTTTTTGTTTTGGTTCGGCGGGGCGGCGCTCAAGGGTTTTTTTGTTGTTGTTTTTGGTTCGGCTGGGCGGCGCTCGAGGGGGTGGGTTGTTTTTGTTTCGGTGGCGTGGCGCGGCGCTTGGGGGGGGGTGTTTCGGGGGCGGGGGGCTTGGGGGGGGGGGATTTCCGCGGCACGGCGCTCAGGGGGGTGTTTCGGTGGCGCGGCGCTTGGGGGGATGTTTCGGCTGGGCGGTACTCTTTTTTTTTTTTTGCTTGGGGCAGAAAAAAGGTTAGAGCCGGCCTTGCAAAACTATCTGCTTTTTTGCTTGTGTAGCAATGCTGCAGAAACATTCCTACATATTTGGTGGACGTGGCTTACTTACCAGTTATGTACATAGCCTTTTGAGTACGGGCAAATTAACCTATTTGGAATTCAATTCACAGATCAAGACATAGTTTTCATTATGCTGACACCTACCAAATTTATGTTTCTGGCAGCTAATTGGAAGTTTACATACCAATTAAAATAAGCATCTGGTTCCAGAAAATTGGGAATATAGTTGTTATGAAAAAATTGACATGCTGAGAGTGGAACTTGCATTTTTGAAATGTAATAGCCCTTTTTGGATTACACTAAGAGTAGGGATCCAGGAAAATGGGCTCACTTAGGACAATAGAGAATGTTTCTTTGTTCCGTGTGTATGTAGTCCTTTTTATATAAGAAGGGGTTATATGTATGTAACACAATCTCCTATACTCCCTTGATTGTATGTTAACTAGTCTCTGGGCATGTTGCAAAGAAGGAATTGCTTTGCCCGTACGCTATTGTGATAATGACAGATTGACATATTTAAAGTGCTATTGATAGGGGATTTATTGGATTATATTAATCCTCCATTCCCCTCACCGCCCACCCCGCCATTTCTTTGTTTCAGTTGTCCTGCTCACAAGCTCCTGCTTGCATGTTTGATTACACTGTTGATGCCAATTCTCATGTTAATGCATCACTATATTTCCACGTAATTAATATTGTTAGACACCTATGAACCTGGCTCTTCAATTGCTCCCTTAGTCATTTATTTTCCTACTCATTAGAGCAGGAAGGAAATTCTAAATATATATATATATATATTTGCAAAAATAAACACATTTGGATCGACTGAAACATTGACTAAATTCCTGTTGATTTTGGCAAGTTGTTTTGGTTGAAACAAAAATAATTTTGGAAATGTTGAATTGGTTCATTTTGACATTATCAAAATAGCCGAAAATGAAAAAAAACTTTTTACTTTGACCAGGGGATTCAGACATCATTCACCAAACTAAAGAGCAGTGGTTAGGCCATTCTGTGTGGAGGTGGAAGACATGAGTTTGAATAGCCACTCTGGAGCAGGAACTTGACTGCAGGTCTCCCTTCCCTCCCAGTTGAGTGTCCTAACCACTGGGCTATATTCTGGGGTAGGAATTGGTCCTGTTGAAACTGTTCCCCTTTGTATAAGATACCTAACTATCCACTGGACTACAGTGTGACTGACTCTATAGTCCAGTAGTTAGAGCACTCAGTGGGGAGAGGGCAGGGGACACCTAGATTCCAGTCCCTGCACCAATGACTTTTCAAGTAATTTTATACAACATGGAAAAGCTTCAACAGGAGAGAGACACAGACCCACCCCAGAGTACCCAATAGGCTGGTAGTTAGGATATTCACCTGGCAGGGTGTTGGAAAAGATCTGTGTTCACGTTTGTGCTCTAGAGCAGGGACTCAGATCTAGCCAGGTGAGTGCCCTAAATACCGCTCTATTGAATACAAAGGGGAGGAGTGGCAGCACTTTATCTGTATTACCATAGAACGTAGGAGTCCTAGTCATGGACCTCTTCCTTTTCTTCCCCTACAGTCCACAGATTTGCAGGAAGGCTTCCACAAAGAGAGCTAGTTAAAATGACATGGTCTTTAAACTGTAAGTTAAAGTAGTTGGAATCAGGGAAGCAAGTCTGAGCAATCCTATTCAAGATCCCATAGCATATTCAAAGCATTACTGGTTCTTATGACCTGTACACTATAACTAATGATTTTTTTAAATGCAATTTCCAATATTAAAAGTTTACTGTAAACACACCCAGGAAACAGGTCTCCTCACAACAAAGTTATCAGTCCATTGATATG